ATTCTCTCACAGTCCAGTAGGCTACAAGTCCAAATTCAGGGCATCAGCTCCAGGGGAATGCTTTCTCTGTTGGCTCTGGAGGAAGGTCCATGTCATCAATCTTCCCTTGGTCTGGCAGCATCTCAGCACAGGAACCTCAGGTCCAAAGGATGCGCTCTGCTCCTGGCACTGCTTTCTTGGTATGAGGTTCCCATGTGTCTCTGCTCAAGTCCCTCTTTTATATCTAGAAAGAGACTGGCTTAAGACACTATCCAATCTTGTATATCTCATCAGTATAACTGCCGCTAATCCATCTTATGAGATCATAGTGATTGAATTTACAACACATAAGGAAATCACATCAGATTACAAAATGTTACCTAACTATACAATACTGGGAATCATGACCCAGACAAGCTGACAGACATTTTTTTGGGCATAATTCAATCCATGACACACACATATGTCGAATTACTCCAAAGTGATGCAACAATGGATGATCCAGTGTTGTGAACGGCCAATCATTAATGCCAACATAAACAGGGAAAAAACAGAGATAGAAACTATGAAAAGCAGATAATGTACGCTGCATGCATTTGACAGTAAAATCAGTGTTGCTTTCAGTCCCAAATTTTGGGCCACCTGACGAATTTTGTACTTTCCCCACGTATCCCTGAAAACCAAGACTTTTGAAGTCCAGGGGACAGATTCCCTGAGATGCAGAATTTTCATTGCTAATCTTTTTGACAGTGTTAGCTACCTCAGTTCTCAGTCTCCCTCCTCTCCTTTCCTTCAGTGGCCTCCTTTCACTTGGGTCTCATTATCTAAGCCCTGCTCTGTCCTTAGTCTCACTCTCAGTCCTGCAGTCTTCCCTCTGTACCTTAGTCCTCCCACTCTCTGTTCTCATGTCTTCGTCTTTTTGCCCCTCACTTTCCCTTTTTCTGTTCCTCAATTTCCCCTTTATTTTGTGCCTCAGTATCCTTTCCTTCTCTCCCAATTTTCTTTCTTCTCCAGTCGGCCCCTCCAATTTATTACTATAATCTCCTCTGGGAGGTTTTCCTATAATTGTTATTAGCATAATTAAACTTATTATTATTGCTTACCTGATCTCTCAGCACCACCCCCCCCCCAAGTGTACTCTTCCATTTGGCCCTCTCTTCCACAATGGAATGTTCTGGGAGATGACTGTATCACTTCGAGTTTTCACCCTTCTCAGCAAGTAATCTCCCGGTTGTGGGGCTGTACCATTTGCAAGCCACTTTAAAATAGAATCACCAACGAAAGTTTTGTACCATTTCAAATTCTTCCTCTTTCACCAACTGCAATCTTCCAGGAGAGGATGGCATCACTCCAACTCCTTCCCCCACTCACTTGTAAAATCTCTCTGCAAAAATATGCACCTTTCCAGTTTGTATTCTAATCTTCTTTTCTGTCATCTTCGTCCCCCCTCCCTTCGCAGCTGCAGCGGTTCCCACGCTTGTACGAAAACGACCGTACTGTCAAGATGGCGACTCTCACTTGGAAAAGTCTTGTAGGAGCAGCCATATTGCATTCCGAACAAAGCCGCCGGACGTGCGGAATGGGCAAAACCTCCCAGTAAGGGAACAGCGCAGGCTCGAAAACATCGCGCTCCACTTGCCAAGAGCGGAAGCGGGAGAGTTCACCAGTGTGGATGTGACAGCCTTCCTGGGTTAAGCCGTGATGGATGTTTCGGGACCTGATAACCGAGCTGGGGGGTCGGAAGGGGGATTTATGAGTTGAGTCATGGGGAAGTCTGGGATTGGTAATGTGGCGGTTGTCCAGGAGGGTCAGAGATTGAAAGTCTATGAAGTCAGTGATGGAAGTCTCTAGGATTAGTGTTGGGGACATTTTGGGATCAGAGGTAAGGGAGAGCTGTATGATCTGTGGGTCTGGTTGCCAGGCCTGTGCGCCGAGTGTCCGTGTGGCCTGTGATTTGTAAACCTGCATGATCAGTATTGGGGTAGGAGTAGGAATCTCTGAGATTTGTGATTTCTGGACCTGGGGATTCAGAGATTTCTAAGGGTACTTAATGGGGCCAGGGACTGGGAAAGGCCTTATATGACCACCTCTGTCTGGCTAGTCCCTCAGGTTCAAGCACGTTCAGATGTTTTTCTCAAACACGTTGCCCCCTATCACTCGTGCCCTCACAGAAGCACTTATCCTTTGAAAATATAACAAACCAAATCTAAAGTGATAGTATTATTGTCAAACCCCCTCCAGCCAAAGACCAGCAGGAACACTCTGTAGTTGAACAAGTTGGGTTTATTGTTCTTGCAGTGAGGAGGAGCACACGGGGAACTTGGGGTGTTTCAATAAGAGGGTGTTAGAAAGGATTTACAGGATTTGGGCTTGTGTTAGATGATTTGGGGAAGGGTTTAAAGAAGTGGACCTTGCTCTGGATTGGATGTTGTCAGTGTCTTAGTCATCTAGTGCTGCTATAACAAGAAATACCACAAGTGGATGGTTTTAACGAAGAGAAGTTCCTCACAGTTAAAGTAGGCTAAAAGTCCAAATTCAGGGCATAAGCTCCAGGGGAAGGCTTTTTCTCTCTGTTGGCCTTCTTATCTTTGGTATTCCCCTGAACTAGGAGCTTCTTCGCCCAGGAACCCCGGTCCAAAGGACCCGCTCTGCTCCCAGCACTGCTTTCTTGATGGTACGAGGTTTCCCGCCTCTGCTTGCTTCCCTTTCATCTCTTGAGAGATAAAAGGTGGTAGAGGCCAAACCCCAGGGAAACTCCCTTTACATTGGATCAGGGATGTGACCTGGGTAAGGGTGGTGTTACAATCCCACCCTAATCCTCTTTAACATAAAATTACAATCACAAAATGGAGGCCAACCACACAATTCTGGGAATCATGGCCCAGCCAAATTGATACACGCATTTTTTGGGGGACATAATTCAAACCATGACAGTCAGGAAGCAGTATAATTCAATGATTGGGGAGTTTAATAAATCTTATTTACAAAGAGGAAAAACCAGACTGAGGCTAAAACTGTAATTGATAAAGCAGCAGCAGCTGCTCATATTAGCTGGGAGAGGGGGATGTTTGGTGCTTTATGGCTTGGACAATGTTCATTTCTTTTTAAATTTAAATTTTATTTTATTGTGCTTTAGGTGAAACTTTACAGGGCAAATTAGTTCCTCATTCAAAAAATTTTTTAATGTAATTTAAAAAAATTTTTTTACTGTGGTAGTTTAGATGAAGTTTACATTTCAAGTTAGTTTCCCATTCAAAAATTTATGCATACATTGTTGTGTGTGACCCTTTGGTCTCCCTATACTGTGACAGCACATTCCTCCTTTCCACCCGATTCCCCATGTCCATTCAACCAGCTCCTAACCCTCTCTGCCTTCGCATCTCACCTCCAGACAGAAGCTTCCCGTTTAGTCTCTTGTATCTACTTGAGCTAAGAGGTACACTCCTCACGAGTATCATTTTATGTCCCACAGTCCAGTCCAATCTCTGTCTGAAGAGTTGGCCTCGGAAATTGTTTTAGTTCTGGGCTGGTAGAGAATCTGGGGGCCATGCTTTCTGGGGTTTCTCCAGTCTCAGACAATTAAGTCTGGTCTTCTTACTAGAGTTTGATTTCTGCACCCCACCTTTCTCTTGCTCCATCAGAGACTCTCTGTTGTGTTCCCTGTCAGGGTGGTCATTGGTGGTAGCCAGGCACCATCTAGTTCTTCTGGTCTCAGGCTGATGAAGTCTCTGATTTATGTGGCCCTTTCTGTCTCTTGGGCTAACACTTTCCTTGTGTCTTTGGTGTTCTTCATTCTCCTAATGTTAATGTTTTGTCTATGTTCAGACATGATTTCAAAGGGGTCCTATTTTTGTCTTGATCTATTATGGTCACTGAATGGCCTTGTCTGGTATTCTGTGAATTTGTTTATGTTTTAATAGGAGAGTTGTGAGTGCCAGGCTTGCTCTTAAAAGCAGGGGCTGCTTTTCTCTTTCTCATTTGGAAAGGTGTGATTTCAACCCTGCCTCCTCCTAAGTTTATTGAAACCATTCTACATTCTATTCAACAAACATGTATTGAAATTCTGCCGTCTATTCGACTCAGGACTGGATGTCCAGAGACCAGCATGACTATTTCTCTTGATTGTTTCCTTTCAGGTCTATTTTGATAAAGTCTGGGACACCAGATCTGAAACAGTTGTGTCCTTGTCATGGGAGCCCTCACTTCCTCTGAATGAGTTCAGTTCTGTCTTCGTAACCTGACCAGGGACTGAGAAGAATTTACTAGGTAAGTAGCTTCCTGCATTGTGGTGTATTCCCTTCTATTAGTAGTTCCAACTTGTCACCATTTTTGTATGTAGACAATTGCACTATTGAAAATCAACAATAAAATTTAAACAGGAAACATCTTCAAATCTGCAGTTTTAATCCATGAATATTGACTTGTCAAGAGAATTTTCTGGGTTGAAGGAAAATATAAAAGAGATGTTAGGATTTTATTGGCTGATTCTATCTAGGAAATATGGGAATACCTTTCTTTGTTTTACCCTCAGTCATTCCCTTATTGCCAGGGCTCCATCTGCAGTTAAATCAGTCTCTCTCTCTCTCTTTCATTATTGCTTTGTGGTAAAGTTCTACAAATAGAATTGCTGGCTCAGAGAAGAATAATAAAAGTGTTATTAAATCAACAGAAAACATATCTTTTTTTGGTTCATCCATCTCTGAGGGTCCTTAATGGGGCCTTTCATCCATTCAAGCATGCATCCATTTAAAAAAAAAACACTTGTCCAAGTTTATGTGGTCATATTACAGTCACAAGAGAACTAAAAGTGGTACTTCCTTCCCACGGTGCTTACTGACCCTTCTGGAGGTCCCAGATAACCTTATCGCACAGAGTGGCCCCTTCGCCCACCTGATTTCTGGTGACAGTTGTTTCTAGACTGGTGAATGTGGAAGCTGCAGGTCGTTCTGGCTTCTAAAGGCTCCATTCTGTCTCCCAGCTCTGATTCCTCAGGCCTCAGCCTTTTGGAAGAGAAACAGAAAATGACCAAGTCTCAGGTGAGTTGCTTGCTTATTTTGTGCTTTTCCATACAATTAAATGTAGAAGTGCAGAAAGCAAAGTATTTGGATTAGGGAAAATGTAGAGAGAACAAAAGATGAAGACTTGGAAAGAGTTGCTATTTAAAATGCAGATTAGATGGTTATAAACGATTTGTATAAATTGAGGTTCACATTTGTCCCATCCCCCTAGCAGTCACGGTGGACAGGTCGAGTAAATCATATACATGGTTTGCATTCCCCATGAAGAGAAATCAGGTGAATTTTCAATGAGAAGAAAATATTCTCTGCCATTTAGGACTAAAAGAAATTAATTTGGGGTGGGCATCTTCCTATAGGTGATGTCCTTACCTACCCACCAAAAATCACCCAAACCTACTGCCAAAGGGTCGATTCAGACTCATAGTGACCCTATAGGATAGATTAGAACTGCCCTATAGGGTTTTCAAGGCTGTAATCTTTATAAAAGCTGACTGCCACATCTTTCTCCATGGAGCAGCTGCTGGTTTCGAACTGCCAACCTTTTGGTTAGCAGCCGAGAGCTTAACCACTCTGCCACCAGGGCTCCTCCTTACCTACACTCCTGTGTAAATGCATCAGTAGATTTCTTGTGACTCTGTCTTAATGTATTTCTTTTAGAGGAAAGGTATCATAATGTCAGAGCCAAACTCCATAAGCTTTATTCTTTAGGGAACCAAAGTGAGCACATAGGCTTCCTATGCTACAGTTTATCCAGGGACAAAACCTAGAGACACACATGGAATGAGTGACCTCTGGTCTCCGAAGTAAATATTTCTCTCAAATAAGCAGTTTTTAAGTTAATTCTCTGGTAAAGGCTTGGAGAGTAGAAGTTTCTGATTCTCCATAGCCTTTGCTGAGGTCTCAGGGTTTGTGCGGCCACTCCCCAACTCAAGGCCAGTTCTTCCTCTGCTCTTCCAGAAAACTCTTTTATATTTTTTCCCCTGGCCAAATTTATCTATTCACGGTATAAACATTTTAAACAAAAGTGTAAAAATGGCTTGATGGCATCTGGCCTCATCTAACTTCACAATGGGGGAGGAGAATCAAGATCAATGTAAGCCAAAGCTGATTTCTATAAAGTGGAAGTCAGACATAATCTCCTCTCTCCAACCTTTTTACCAATTCTGACACCAGCTGTCCTTCCCATGGCACTCTCTACTTCTCTGCTGGGTTCAATAATTCTTTGCAGTGGCCACACAGAACTCCAGACCATACTCACAGTTATGGGGTTTATTAGGGAAGTGACAGGTTACAATTCAGGATCAGGAACAACTCAGGATACGGTTCTTTGGTCAGGACAGCTTCTTGGCCATGCCCGCAAACAGGCCTTTCTCTCCCTCTCTCTCTCTCTGCCCCTTGGGCCTCAACCTGGCCTCTGCCCTGCTTGAGCCAAGTGTTACAAAGCTCTTTAGCTCTGCCAATAAGAACCTCGAGGTACTCCATTCTGCCAGTAAGCATCCTGCCTGAAGGCTCTCAATTTCTGTCACTCTGTGGGTTGGCACACCCACTGTAGCCGCCTCACTCAGTGAGCCGGGAAGCCCACTTGAGCTGGTCTTATTCTGCTGTCTCTGTTTCTCTGCCACCGCTTCTCACCCTGTCTCTGGTGTTATAGCTTGCCGTCTCCTGGGTCTGGGAGACTCTCAGTGTAGGCACCCTGGGTCCAAAGGATGCACTCGCTCCCGGCTCTTCTTTATGATAGTTAGGTCCCCTTCTCTCTGCCTCTGGGATTGGCTCCCTTTAAGCCTGGTGGGTTGGCAAACTGACCAATCCCCTCGTTAGTGCTCCATACACTTTATTTGCATGGTCCCACCCCCACAAGGGTGCCATGCATCTTATTTGCATTATTAACAAGTTATCCAATCCCCTTGGTGGGCACAAGCACCTTATTTGCATAGTCCCATCCAGTCATTTTTGTGGGAGTCACAAAGACCATGGCTAGAAGGGCCCATTAAAGTAATTCACTATACCACAAACAGAGAAAGATAAAAATTAGAAAGTGAATAGCCCTTTAACAGCCCCTCTTCCTGGGATAGCCAGTATTAATAACTTATGTTTCCATTTTTGTTCCATCTAAAAATTATTTATTCTATTGTTTAAAAACATGAAGTTTCAACTTTATTATTTTCCTGAGTATGTAGTTTACCCAATACCATTTGTTAAATACTTTACTTATTTATAAAGCTGCATTTAATATTTACTAAATTCCCATTGGCTATTAGGTCTCTTTCTACCCCTTTGTTTTTCTAATCTGTCATCCTCTTTTTGCTACAAACAGAGTTTTACGTCGTTTTTCTCAAAATGTGTGATGTAGAATTGGGTGCATAGTTTTGCATACTACATAGTAAAATGATAAGAAGGATTACTTCAGATTGAACAAGAATATGCTATTACAGGGTCCAGTGTCATTTGAGGATGTGGCTGTGAATTTCACTCAAGAGGAGTGGCAGCAGCCTGCTCAGAGGACCCTGTATAGGGATGTGATGCTGGAGAACTACAGCCACCTGGTCTCAATGGGTAAGGATGGTTTCCCTGCATAACACAAGAGTTGTCCAATCCAGTGCCTCTTCCTTCTCATTTGTTTGGGTTGGGTAGTCATATGTAATGACTTTTGTGCCCTCCTTGCCTTCCCCAGTGGAAGGCCATTACTTTGCTGAGAGCCAGCTAAATAGCTTCATTGTGGGGCTCTTGAAACTGCACCTTCTTTTCTTTCTTCAGTGCAGTTAATCACAATTCCCCCGTGATTTCCCTGTAATAGGATATCCTGTTCCCAAACCAGATGTCATTGCCAAGTGGGAACATGGAGAAGAGCCACGGATCGTAAAGAGAGACATAGTGCACTGGATCTATCCAGGTGAAATTCTGGCAGATGGGAGACAAGGGAAGTGAAATCACAATTGGTTGGTTTTAATTTTTAGTTGGTTGGTGGCTGAGGCTTATGTCTCACCCACATTGATATTTCCTATTCCTTGCTCCTGTGCTGAGCACATAGTAGGTATTCAACAGCTAATTAAATGTAAAAATGGCATGGTGGTGGCATCTGATCTCTAACATCAGGAGAGGCAAGGAGAATCAAGATCAACAGCCCAAGGTTGATTCCTATGAGGCGGAAGTCAGACGTGCTTATCTCCGTCATGTTTACCAATGGCATCTTTACCAATTCCAACACCAACCATCCCCCCCACCAGCACTCTCTACTTCTCTGCTAAGTTCGATAATTCATTGCAGTGGCCACACAGAACTCACGGACCATACTCACAGTTGTGGGGATTATTAGGGAATTAACAGGTTACATTCCAGGTTTAGAACACTCAGGATACAGTTCTTCCATTAGGATAGCCTCTTCTCAGCTGTGCCCACAGGCAGGCCTCTCTCTGTCCCCCAGGCCTCTGTCCTGCTTCAACAAGTGTTACGACCCTCTTTCAGCTCCACCAGTAAGTGCCCGGAGGCACCCCACTCCACCAGTAAGCCTCGCCCCAAATGCACTCAACTTTAGCTCCATGGGTCGGCAAACCTAGCCCCACCAAGTGCCTGGAGACACCCTACTCCGTTAGCAAGCCTTCTGCCTGAAGGCACTTAGCTTTCTCGCTTCATGGGGTGGGCTGTCTCCTGCTGGTCTCCTAGTTCTGCTGCTGCGATGCGTCTGCCACCAGTTCTCGCCATCTTCAGTGTTATAGATCTCTCTCTCTTTCTTGGTCACCCGGTTCCAGGCACATCTCAGTGCAGGGATCCCAGGTCCAAAGGATGTGCTCTGCTCCTGGCTCTTCTTCCTTGATGGTGGTGAGATCCTCTCTTCCTGCATTTGGGATGGCTCATTTTAAGTCTAGCGGGGTGGCAAAACTGACCAATCCCTTCGTTAGGGTTCCATAGACCTTATTTGCATGGTCCAACCCCCATACAGGTGCCATGAACTTTATTTGCTTTATTTGCAAGCTATCCAATCCCCTTGGTGGGCCACAATTACCTTATTTTTATAGTCACTTGGGTGGAAGTTAAAAGACCATGGCAAGAAAGGCCATATAAATGCAATTCAATGCACCGTATTAAGTAATAGTCATGTACGGAGGAGATATTTCTTATTGATCTATTCAACAATCATATCTTTAGTCCCTTTCTAAAAGAATCAAAGCCAATAGAAGGGAAATGCCTTTCAGGAACATAGCTTGTGCACGGAAAGGTAAGACATATAGATTTACGGCTGTATAAAATTACATGTCAAATGTAATTACTACTTTAGAAGTTCAGTGAAAATTGTAGGCTAAAGTGATGTGGCAGAATTTAAGAGGTCATTTTGTAGAGCATGTAGCAGCTACTCTGAAGACTATCTTAAGTGTGGATTAGGCAGAAGGAATAGGGTGAGGGCAAGCTCTGGGTAAGAGGACATGTATAAAACCTTGGAGTTAGGAATAAGCATGACTTTTCTGGCAGAAATTTACTAGTCTTACTTGACTTCAATAAAATATATTATTGAGGAAGAGTGGAAATTAACCTTGGACACACACTGTGAATACAGAGAGTTAACATTTTATTACCCTGAATTGTTCTGTTGTTCTTGCTACTGTTATTATTATTTTAAAATACTTTTGAGATATAATTCACATACCACACAATTAATCCATTTAAAGTGTACAATTCAGTGGTTTTTAGCATATTTGCTGGTATGTGCAATTATCACAAATTTAGAACATTTTTATCATCCAAAAAAGAAACCAAGTAGCCTTCTGCTGTGCGATGGATCACTTTTATATGGCCTTTCTTGCCATGGTCTTCTAAGTCTCACCAAATGATTGGGTGGGACTATGCAAATAAGGAGCTTGTGGCCCACCAAGGGGATTTGATAGCTTGCTAATAAGCAAATAAGATGCATGGCACTCTTGTGGGGGTGGGACCATGCAAATAAGGTTTTTGGAACCCTAACAAGGGGATTGATCAGTTTTGCCATCCTGCTAGCCTTAAAATGAGCTATCTCAGAGGCGGGAAGAGGGGGACCTCACTACCACCAAGAAAGAAAAGGTGGGAGCAGAGTACATCCTTTGGTCTGAGAACCTTCTAGACCCAGGAGACAGAGAGCTCTAATACTGGAGACAGTGCAAGATAGCGAGAAGTGGCAGCAAGTGCAGTAGAGAACCAGCAGCAGCAGAACCAGGAGACCAGCAGGAGATGGTGTGGTGGGCTTCCTGGCCCATGGAGTGAGAAAGCTGAGTGCCTTCAGGCAGGAGGTTCCTGGTGGAGTAGGGTGCCTCTGGGCATTTGTCAGGGGAGCTAGGATTGCCAATCCTCCCACAGAACGAGAGAGCTGAGCACCTTTGGGCCAACGCTTACTGGCAGAGTGGGGTGCCCCTGGGCAGTTATTGGCAAAGCTAAAGAGCTTTGTAACACTTGTCCAAATATGGCAAAGGCCCAGCCAAGGGCTAGGGGCTGAGGGGTCGAGGGCCAGAGAGAGGCTTGCCTGCTCGCACGGCTGAGTAGCTGTTCTGACCAAGGAACTGTATCCTGAGTCGTTCCTGGCTCTAAATCATAACCTTTTGCTTCCCTAATAAACCCCATAATTGAGCATGGCCTATGAGTTCTGTGTGGCCATTGCAATGAATTATCGAACCGAGCAGAGAAGTAGAGAGTGCCATGGGAGGGACAGTTGGTGTCAGAATTGGTAAAAAAGTTGGACAGCAGAGGTATCTTTGACCTTCGCCTTATAGGAGTCAGCCTTGGGCTGATCCTGATGGTGATTCTCTCTCCCCATTGTGAAGTTGGAGGAGGTCAGACACCCGCACCATGTCATTTTTATATCTTCCTATCCCCCAGCCTCTTCAGCCCAAACCAACCACTAGTCTACTTTCTATCTATTGATTTGCCTATTCTGCACATTTCATATAAATGGAATCATATAATAAGTGGTCTTTTGTGACTGGCTTCTTTCACTTAGCATGAGGTTTTGAAGGTTCATCTATGTTGTCACATGTGTCAAGTACTTCATTTCTTCTTATGGCCAAATAGTATTCCATTGTATGGATATACCAAATTTTATTTATCCATTCATCAGTTGAAGAACACTTAAGTTGTTTCCCTCTTTTGGCTATTATGAATAAATGCCACTATAAACATTTGTGTATAAGTTTTTGTGTGGACGTATGTTTTTATTTCCCTTGGGTGTATACCTAGGACTGGAATTGTTGGGTCATAGGGTGTTATGGATTTAATTGTGCCCCCCAAAAGTGTGTGTCAACTTGGCTGGGCCATGATTCCCAGTATTGTGTGATTGTCCACAATTTTGTGATCTGATGTGGTTTTTCTGTGTGCTGTAATCCTACCTCTCTGATGTTAATGAGGCAGGATTAGAGGCAATTATGTTAATGAGACAGGTCTCAATCTTCAAGATTAGGTTGTGTCTTAAACCAGTCTCTTTTGAGATATAAAAGAGAAGAGTGAGCAGAGAGACATGGGGACCTTATACCACCAAGAAAGTAGAGCCAAGAGCACGTGCCTTTTGGACTGGGGGTCCCTGCGCTGAGAAGCTCCTAGAGAAGGGGAAGATTGATGACAAACACCTTCCTCCAGAGCTGACCCTTCCCCTGGAACTGACACCCTGAATTCGGAATTCTAGCCTTCTACACTGTGAAAAAATAAATTTCTCTTTGTTAAAGCCATCCACTGTGGTACTGTTACAGCAGCACTAGGTAACTAAGACAGAATTTGGTACCAAGAATGGGATTCTGCTCTAACAGATACCTAAAATATGGAAGCTATTTTGAAACTGTGAATGGATAGAGGCTGGAAGAGTTTTAAAGTACCTGATAGTAAAAACCTAGATTGCCTTCAAGGGACTGTTGGTGGAATTATGGACGTCAAATACAATTCTGGTGAGGACTCAGAAGGAATTGAGGAGAGCTCTTACACTGGTGACGGCACAGATGGTAATAAGAAGCAGCAGAGAAACAGCAGCAGCAGAACCAGGAGACCAGTGCGAGACAGTGCTGGAGCCGACCAATGAAACAAGAGAGCTGAGTGCCTTTGTGCAGGAGGTTTCCTGGTGGAGTGGGGTGCCTCTGGGCACTTATTGGTGAATCTACGCTTGTCAACCCACGGAGCAAGAGAGCTGAGTGCCTTCTGGCCAAAGTTTACTGGCAGAGTGGAGTGCCTGCAGGCACTTATCAGTGGAGCTACAGAGCTTTGAAACACTTGCCTAAGCTGCGCAGATGCTGGTGGCGAGGCCCAAGGGGCAGAGAGGTCAAGGAACCAGGAAGCAGAAGCTGAAGAGACAAGGAACACAGGAAGCCGAGCTGCCTCAGTTTCAAACGTTGTAGCCATGGCCTCTGGAGTTTCTAAGGGTGGAGTCACCACTCAAATGGTCTAGGAGATTGGGGCCCCCCAAATCCGAGGGACCAGAGTTGCTATTCCAGTGGGCCTGTAAGGCAGAGCTGAAGCCAGGGCCAAGGGGCCTCCACTCAAAATCTGGAGAGTGTGAGCAATACCTAGAGTATGGAGGGCAGGGCGATTGCGTAAATGGTCTCAGAGAACAGAGGATTATTCTCAAGCCTTGAGGGCTAATGTAATGTGTTCTGCTGATTTGCTTGGTGCCTGTTATTCCTTCTTTCTCTCCAGTTTCTCCCATTTGTAATGGAAATGCCTAGCTTGTGCCTGTTCCACCATTGTACTTTGGAAGCAGTTAACTTGTATTCTAGATTTCAGAGATGAAGAGGAATTTTTTGAATTTTGGACTTGGAGTTGATTTAAGACTTTTGCTACATGATATGATGAGGTGAATGTATTTCACATGTGGCAAGGACATGAATTTTGGGGGGCCAAAGGGTGAAATGTTACAGATTAAGTTGTGTTCCCCCAAAATATTTATCAACTTGGCTAGGCCATGATTCCCAGTATTGTGTGATTGTCCACCATTTTGTCACCTGATGTGATTTTCCTATGTATTGTAAATTCTATCTCTATGATGTTAATGAGACAAGATTAGAAGCAGTTATGTTAATGATGCAGGACTCAATCTACAAGATTAGGTTGTATCTTAAGCCAATCTCTTTTGATATATAAAAGAGAGAAGTGAGAAGAGAGACATGGGGACCTCATACCACCAAGAAAGCAGAGCCAGGAGCATGCATCCTTTGGACCCGGGGTCCCTGCACTGAGAAGCTCCTAGAGCAGAGGAAGATTGATGACAAGGACCTTTTTCTAGAGCCAAAAGAGACAGAAAACCTTCCTCTGGAGCTGGCACCCTGAATTCAAGCTTCTAGCCTCCTAAACTGTGAGAGAATAAACTTCTGTTTGTTAAGGCCATCCACTTGTGATATTTCTGTTATAGCAGCACTAGAAAACTAGGACATATGGTAACTGTATACGTAATCATATGAATAACTACCAGACTGTTTTCCAAAGTAGTTGCACTATGTTCCTGTCTTAGTCATCTAGTGCTGCTATAACAGAAATACCACAAGAGGATGGCTTTAACAAAGAGAAGTTTATACTCTCACAGTCCAGTGGTCTAGAAGTCTGAATTCAGGGTGCTGGCTCCAGGGGAAGGCTTTCTCTCTTTGTCTGCTATGGAGGAAGGTCTTTGTGATGTATTAGTCTTTCCCTGGTCTGGGAACACCTCAGTGCAGGAACCTCAGGTCCAAAGGACAAGCTCTGCTCCCAGAACTGCTTTCTTGGTGTATGAGATCCCCGTCTCTCTACTTGCTTCTTTCTTTTCTATCTTAAAAGAGATTGGCTTAAGACACTATCTAATCTTGTAGACCTCATCAGTATAACTGCTGCTAATCCATCTTATTACATCATAGTGATAGAATATACAACACATAGGGAAATCACACCAGATGACAAAAGGTAGACAATCATACAATACTGGGAATCATGACCTAGCCAAGTTGACAAATATTTTTTTGGGGACACAATTCAATCCATGACAGTTCCATTCCTACTAACAGTGTATGAGTGTAAAGAATGGCATGGCAGCATTGGATCTCCTCATCTAAGTTCACGAGGGGGGAGAATCATCTTCTGCATCAGCCCAAGGCTGATTCCTGTGAGGCAGAGGTCAGACATACCTCCACCTTGCAAACTTTCTGCCAATTCTGATACCAGCCATCTTTCCCATGGCACTCTCTGCTTCTCTGCTGGGTTCGATAATTGGTTGCAGTGGCCACACAGAACTCACAGACCGTATTCACAGGTATGGGGTTTATTAGGGAAGTAACAGGTTACAATTTAGGATCAGAGAGAACTCAGTATACAGTTCTTTGATCAGGACAGCCTCTTCTTAGCCATGCCTGCAGGCAGGCCTCTTTCTGGCTCTTGACCTTTCAGTCCCTCAGGCCTCTTGGGCTGGCTTGGCCTTTGCCCTGCTGGGGTAAGTGTTACAAATCTCTTTAGCTCCACCAATAAGTGCCCAGAGGCACCCCACTCCGCCAGCAAGCCTGTTGCCCGAAGGCGTTCAGCTTTCTCACTCCATGGGTGGGTATGCTCAGCTCTCTCACTCTGTGGGTCAGCTCCGTGGGTTGGGAAGCCCACTGTGCTTTCTTGTGCCAGTCTCCTTGTTTCTCAGCTGCTACTTCTCACCCTCTCGTGCTGTCTCTGGTGTTACAGCTCTGTCTTTCTCTGGCTCCGGGGTCTAGGAGATTCTCAGCACAGGGACCCTGGCTTCAAAAGATGTGCTCCACTCCTGGCTCTTCTTTCTTAGTGGTAGTGAGGTCCCCCTTCCCACTTCTGGAATGGCTCATTGTTAGCCTAGTGGGATGGCAAAACTGACCAATCCCTTTGTTAGGGTTCCATTCACCTTATTTGTGGGGTTCCACCCCCACAAGGGTGCCATGAACCTTATTTACAGCATTAGCAAGCTGTCCAATCTCCTTGGTAGGACACAATCACCTTATTTGCATAGCCCCACCCAACCAAAAAAACCAAACGCATTGCCGCTGAGTCTATTTCGACTCATAGTGAGCCTACAGGACAGAGTAGAACTGCCCCATAGGGTTTCCAAGGAGTGCCTGGTGGATTCAAACTGCTGACCTTTGGGTTAGCAGCTGTAGCTCTTAACCAGTGTGCCACCAGGGTTTTCATGCATGGCTAGGAGGGTCATATTAAGTAATTCACTGCACTGCAGGGTTTATTATGGAAGTTACAGGTTACAATTCAGGATCAGGAGCAACTCAGGATACAGTTCTTCAATCAGGAAAGCTTCTTAGCCATGCTCACATGCAGGCCTCTCTCTGGCCCTCAGCCCCTCAGCCCCTCAGCCCCTTGGCCTCTTGGCCCCTCGCCCTCTCAGCCTCTTGGCCCTCAGCCATCAGCCCTCAGCCCTTGGCCCTTGGCCTGGCTTCTGTCCTGCAAATGTTACAAAGCTCTTTAGCTCAGCCTATAAGTGCCTGGAGACACCCCATTCCGCCAGTATGCCTCAGCCCGAAGGCCTATGGCTTTCTCACTCTGTGGGTCAGCATGCACACTATAGCCACCTTCCTCTGTGGGCCGGGAAGTCTACTGTGCTGTCTCACGCCAGTCTCCTGGTTCTGCTACTCCCATTTCTCTAGCGCCACTTCTCACTGTCTTGTACCATCTCCAGTGTTACACCTGTGTCTGTCTCCTGAGCCTAGGACGTTCTCAGTGCAGGGACCCTGAGTCCATAGGATGTGCACCACACCTATCTCTTCTTTTTGATAGTAGTGAGGTCCCCTCTTTCCACCTCTGGGATGGCTAATTTTAAGCCTAGCGGGATGGCAGAACTGACCAATCTCCGCACTAGGACTCCATAGACCTTATTTGCATAGTCCTACCCCCACAGGGTGCCATGCACCTTATTTGCATTATTAACAAGTTGTCCAATCCTCTTGGTGGAAACACAGGCACCTTATTTGCGTAGCCCCACCCAATCATTGTATGGGAGTTACAAGACCATGCATGGCTATAAGGGCCATATTAAGTAATTCACTGCACTGCAGTGAGGGTTCTGATTTCTCCACATTTTCATCAACACTTGATATTATTTGACTTTTTAGTTGTAGCCATCATAGTGGGTGTGAAGTGGTATCTCTATGGTTTTGAAAACTTATCAAGAGTAGTTTGAACAGTGCTTACCTTCTTCTTGTCTTTTATGCCTTGGCCAATTGTCATACTCCTTTCTAAATTTGGATCAGCTTCCAACATTTTATCCTTTGTGCTTTCAATGTTATGAAATATTTACAAGAGTTAGTTTAATGTGCAGAATTTTATTGATGTCACTTCCTCTAGGACATCTTTATCCTTTTGTCACAACCACTTTCCTCATTTATGTCAATGAGTGTACCTTCACTAAGTTCCTGTGGCTGCATATCTAAAGTGTCTTAAAAGGTAACATTGTAACATTTCCATGGTCAGCCATCTTCCAATCACACCCAGTTTCACTTCCAGTGTTAATTGCTTATCTTTCTTTCCTATACTTTCATCTTTTTTGGCCAGTTCCTTTTCTGATTACCCATTTGTCTTAGTCATCTAGTGCTGCTATAACAGAAATACCACAAATGGATGGCTTTAACAAAGAGAAGTTTATTTTCTCACAGTCCAGTAGGCTACAAGTCCAAAGTCAGGGCGTCAGCTCCAGGGGAATGCTTTCTCCATCAGCTCTGGAGGAAGGTCTGTGTCATCAATCTTCCTGTGGTCTGGGAGCTTCTCTGTGCAGGAACCTCAGGTCCAAAGGACACGCTCTTCTCCCAGCACTGCTTTTTTGGTGGTATGAGGTTCCCGTGTATCTCTGCTCGCTTCTCTCTTTTATATCTCAAAAGAGATTGGCTTAAGGCACTATCCGATCTTGTATACCTCATCAGTATAACTGCCGCTAATACATCTTATTGGATCATAGATTGAATTTACAACACATGAGGAAATCACATCAGATTACAAAATGGTACACAATTATACAATACTGGGAATCATGACCCAGCCAAGTTGACAGATATTTTTGGGGGACACAATTCAATCCATGACACTATTTTTGTAAAATATCATGTGGATTTATCACTGGGAGACAAGGAAGCAACATAACTGTAACCAGACACTTCCAGGTCTGCTTGGTGTGGCTAGAAAGACACGAAGCAGTGAAAGTGAAAGAAGCTTTATTTAGTTGGCCATGTAAAGGAGCCCGCTGGGACTTGTGTCGCCAAGGTGGCTCTTTGAACAATAGCTCAAGGCATTTATATGAGTAAAATAAATTGGGTCTGGGGTCTTCAGAGAAGCCCCAAGGTGGAGTCAGCTTGCTGATTGGTTTGACCCAAAAAGGCGTTCCTGGAGCGGTCTGGTCTTCTGCGCCTGAGGGGGGGACCACAAAGATGGCATTTTGCCCATGTCTGGGGTGTATACAGGGGTGTGGTTTCTGGCCTCTGACATCAATAGGTCATCCAAGGGACACAGTTGTCGGTACTACACATGTCAGGTGGTCCAGACCTGGTTCAAGACTAGTTTGGACTGGTCTTGAGACCTCAGTCTCTTGTTTTTCTTGATTGAGCCGGAACTGGAAGTATACCTAAATAAGGAGATATCTTAAAGACAGGCGGTTAGTTCTTATATTACCTAATAAAGAGATAGCTTACATGCAGGGAGTTAGTTCTCATATCACAGAGGATGGCAGGCACCACCCCTTGCTTATTCAAGATGGCAGGCATGCTGTCGGCCTTATAACTATATGGTTTTCTGTCTGTGAGTATACTGAATAACGATTGTGCAGTCAACAATCGTTGAAGTGATTAGTCACTTGTTATAATGTGTATCTGTTATTGATGTAGTGATTTCTGGACTGAAGAGCTAGCAGTGAAGTTTTTACTTTGTGCCATTATTCACAGATAATATACCTTGGTAACTGAAGTCTGAACTGTGTTGTTGGGGGACATAGTTTAACTAAACTATGGTAACTGAAATTCATGCATATCAGAGTTGTGCACAGTGAGGACAATATCATTTTTCCTCTAAACACTGCTTTAGCTGCATCTCACAAATTTTGATATTTTGTGTTTTCATTTTTATTCAGTTAAATTATTTTATAATTCCTGCTATGATTTTCTCTTTGACATATGGGTTATGTATAATTATGTTGTTCAATTTTCTAATATTTGGGGTATTTTCCGGATTTCTTTCTGTTACCTATTTTTAATTTAATTCTATTATGGTTGGAGAATACACTCTGAATAATTTTCATCATTATATAATTATTGAAAATTGTTTTGAGACTTTGTATATGGTCTATTTTCATGACTGTTCCATGTGCCCTTGAAAGGAATGTGTATTCTGTTGCGTGGAGTGTTGATAGATGTTAATTATGTCAGTTTACATCATACTTATTGATTTTTTTTTGTCTACTTGTTTTATCAATTATTTTGAGAGGAGCATTGAAATATGTAGCTATAATTGTTAATTTGTCTATTTTTCTTCTCATTTTTGCCAGCTTTGATTTCATATTTGGTGGGACTCTGTTATTAGGTGTATATACATTTATAATCATTATATTTTCTTGCTGGAATGATCCTTTTGCAGTTTTGAAATATTTCTATTTTTTCCAATATTTGTTGCCTTGAAGTTTATTTTGTCTGATATTAATATATCTACTGCACCTCTCTTATGCTTATGATACGCATGGTATATCTTTTCCCATCCTCTTATGTACAATCTATTGTATCTTTGAATTTAAAATGTATCTGTTTTAGACAACATATAGTTGACACTTACTGTTTTTTTCAGTCTGACAATTTTTGTCCTTTGATTATTCTATTGTTATTCTATTCCCAGTTAATGTTATTATTGATTTGGTTTTTGGTTTAGGTTTTTCATTTTGCTGTTTGTTTTCTCTTTGTCTAATTGCTTTTTTGGTCTCTGTTCTTGTTTACTTCCTTCTTTATTGTTAGAATTTTTTTTAATATACCATTTTAATTGTTCTATTGAATTCTTAGCTGTAAAGGTTGTCCCCAGATTATGAAAAAGTTCCATTCCTAAGTCTGTCTTTAAGTTGAATTTACATGTAAGTCAGAACAGTTAGGTATGGTTCATATCTAACGTCAGTTAGTCAAATGTTTGTCTTGGCATACAGTATATAGTGTACCTTTCTATGCATAAAAAACATTAAAGAAACACTTCTAGAGATGCTAAAACATTCTTAACATAATAATATAGTAATAATAATAATGTTTTGATGTGCATCACAAAGTAGCACCTGTTATTATAAACCATTGTATGTACCTCGAATTTTTAATATAATAGGATTTACAGGAGTTGGTTGGTAGCTGTGGGTTGTACATAAGTTAGATGTTCATAACCTGGAGACTGCCTGTAGTTCTTTGTGTGTATGTGTGTATAGGTCACTCTAGCAATTACAGTATGATCTTTAACAGTCACTATCTACTTCAAGTTAATTTTGCCTTTTTTTTCCTGACAAAATATAGGAACTTTGCACTGGCATAGCTGTGTTCTTCACCCCCACCTGCAACTATCCTGTGCTGCTTTGCTCATTTGTAGTCATATATGTTGCACTTATATTTCTCATAAATTTGACAATACATTGTAACAATTTTTGCTTTAAAAAGTCTTTTAAATAAATTAGAAGAGAAAAAATATACATATACAAACTCCTTTGTATTTACCCACTTTTTTTTCATTTCTAGTGTCCTGTGAATTTGAGTTATCATCTGGTATGATTTCTTTTCATCCAGAAGACTTTCTTTAATATTTCTTATAGAACAAGTCTGCTATCAACACGTTTGTGTTTATTTGGAAATGTATTTATTTTGCCATCATTTTAAAAGTAAAGATTCACTGAATATAGAATTCTTGGTTGACAGGTTGCTTTCTTTTAGCACTTTGAATCTTTCATTTCAATGTTTCCTGGCTTCCTTTTTTTTTTCTGTTGAGAAGTCAACTGAAAAAATTCTATTATTTTTCTCCTATGCATGACGTGTCATGTTCTCTTTGTGCTTTCAAGATTTTCTCTTTATCTTTATTATCAACAGTTTGATTATGATGTTTTTAGGTGTTTCTGTATTCTACTTGTGGTTTGTTGAGCTTCTTGTATCTGTAAGTTAATATTTTCCACCAAATTTGGTAATTTTTCAGACACTATTTCTTCAAATATTTTATCTGTCTCTTTTTCTACTCTCTTTCTGGCACTCTATACATATGCTGGAATGCTTAATATTAATCCACAAATCTCTGAGGTGCTGTTTTATTTTTCTTAAATCTTTTTCTTCCTTTTTGTTCTTTGGAATATATAATTTCTAGTGATATATTTTTAAGTTCACTGATTTTGTCTTCTGCCTTTTCAAATCTGCTAATGAGCCCATCTGGTATATTTTTCACCTCAGCTTCAGAATATAATTCTTTTATTTGTTTAATTTAGTTTTAAATTTACATAAAATAAAGTTTACTGTCTTTATATTTGAAAAATGCTTAGAGTCATGTAACATCACTGTAATCAAGATACAGAACCTTCCCATTACCCCTAAATTATATCTCTTTATGGTCAGACTGGTTCTTTTCTGTAATTTCCTTTTCTTTTGAAATTGCCTGCTGCTCACTCATTCCTTAGCATATTTTTCTTTAGTTATTTGAACATATTTATTACAGCTTATTTGCAGTCTGTGTTATTCCATTATCTGGATCCACCTGGAATCAGTTTTTATTGTGTGATTTTGTTCTTTAGTATGCGTTTCATTTTCCTGTTTCTTTGCATATCTAATAATTTTTGGTTGTTGAATTTTTTGTTTAAGAGGTAACTACTTGAGCTCAAACTGTGACATCTGTTTCTCTCTTAGTGTGCCATCGCTGATATTTACACTCAACTTTTTTTTTTAAAAGCCTGATTCCCTAAGGTATTCATTCCTCTGCATTCACATAATTTACAGGTGAGCTAGTGATTTGGACAGGCTAAACTAGACATCTAAAGCCAGTAAAGCTTCCATACTTTACTGCCTGAGTTGTGTGTAAGTCAGAATGCTTTCAAGGTATAGAAAGTTCATAAGTCTCTCTAGCCTTTAATCACTTCTGGGCTTTCTGGGATCTCCTTACACATACATTTTAGATGTCAGGTGGGGATGTGTGGAGAGTTTATAATCTAAGTTCTTCTATGTCTCTTTTGCTTCCAAATTCCCCCTGTTAAATTTCTAGCTGCTCTACCATCAGCTTCAAACTGAATTTGCCACTTGTTTGTTAATGCCACATAAACTGAGGGTGTGGGGATGCGAAAGCTCTGTGAAAGAAGGCTGCAAACTCCCCATTCTTACCCAATGAAGTAGGAGTTTTTAATGAGTAAACACTTCTTAGCCTGTAGTCTGCCTTTGATCATTATTCAGTGCCCTGTATTGTTTTTATAAAATAATTTTATTCAGTTTTACTCTTCTTTTTTGTGGAGGGAAATTCCATGAATACCTCATGTCATCATTATTGGAATTAAAGTCCATCTTTATTCACCAGATAAACTTACATGTTTTATTGTGTTTCTAAATGGCCTGACCCCCCTCCCAATTCTTTGTGCTCACGGGTCATCTTGGATCATCCATTTGTTCCACATATTCTGTCCTCTACTAAATCTTCTTTCTATTTGGTTAATTTTATCTCTTTATTCTTTCGGATTTGGAGAGTGGACTTGACATCCCTCAGCTGGGTATTTTTGGAGATGTTTCCTTTCATAAAGAAATTTGAAAGTGTCACAAGGGATCATTCATTGTACTCCATTTCAGAAGTCTGGCAAGGTGATGACCACCTGAAGAGAGATGAGGAAAACCAAGACAAGTCTTTCAGGCAGGTCACAATCATCAGCAACAAAAGATTTATGGAGGAGTCAGGTCATACATAATGCCTTTGGAAAACTATTCCATAAGTGCACAGACCTAGGTACTTCAAGACAAAGACTGTATAAATACGACTCATTTGAAGAGAGCTTGAAATCTAATAAAATCCTACTCAATTGTAATAGGAGTTATGCAAGAAAAAATACTGATGAGAATTTTGGATGTGAGAGAACATCTAGCTACAGTTCTTTCCATTCTAAGCATGAGAAAATTCTTAATGGAGTGAGATACTGTGAAGGTAATCAGTGTGGAAACATTCTCAGTGCTAAACAATCTCTTATTCAATATACAAATATTGAAACTGGGGAGAAGTACTGTGTATGTATTGAATGTGGAAAATTCTTTCTCAAGATGTCACAGCTCATTATACATCAAAGAATTCATACTGGAGAGGAAACATATGATTGCAGTGCATGTGCAAAAGCCTTCAGTGAGAAGTCACACCTCATTGTATATCAGAGAATTCATACAGGGGAGTGACCTTGTGAATGTTCTGAATGTAGAAAAACCTTCTCTCAGAAATCATCCCTCATTATACATCAGAGATTTCATTCTGGGGAAAAACCATATGAATGTAATGAATGTGGGAAAGCCTTCTCCCAGAAATCTCCCCTCATCATACATCAGAGAATTCATACTGGGGAAAAACGATATGACTGTAGTCAGTGTAACAAAGCTTTCTCCCAGAAGTCACAGCTTATTATACATCATAGAGCACATACTGGAGAGAAGCCATATGAGTGCACTGAATGTGGGAAAGCATTCTGTGAGAAGTCCTACCTCTTTATACATAAGAGAATTCACACCAAAGAGAAACCCTACAAATGTGCTCAATGTGAGGAAGCCTTTAGCAGGAAGTCAGAACTTATTATACATCAGACAGTTCGTACTGGGGAGAAACCCTATGAATGTACTGAATGTGGCAAGAGCTTCTCCCAGAAGTCACAGCTCATCATGCATCAGAGAACACATACTGGAGAGAAACCCTATAAATGCAGTGAATGTAGAAAAGCCTTTTGTCAGCAGTCCCATCTCATTGGACATCAGAGAATTTACACAGGAGAAAAGGCCTTACGTGTGTACTGAATGTGGGAAAGCCTTCTGTCAGAAGTCCCACCTCCCAGGACATCAGCGAATTCATACAGGAGAGAAAACTTACATATGTACTGAATGTGGAAAGGCAGTTTCCCAGAAATCAGAACTTGTTGTACATTGTAGAATTCATACTGGGGAGAAACCCTATCAGTGTACTGTATGTGGGAAGGCCTTCACCCAGAAGTCACAACTGACTGTACACCAGAGAATTCATACAGTACTGAAATCGTAAGCATGAACTGAGCACAGAAAAGCCTTGACTATTATCACAAGCCTTAGTAAATACTAGAAGCCCCAAGGATTTGATGAGTTTGAGTACTACATATCTGTGCTTAAAATTTTACAAGTGAAATCATCTTCCTAATATAGTGTCTAACTTTTAAGCAAACCACTGCCGTTGAGTCAATTCCGACTCACAGCGACCCTATAGAACAGAGTAGAACTGCCCCATAGGGTTTCCAAGGAGTAGCTTGTGGATTTGAACTGCTGACCTTTTGGTTAGCACTCAAGCTCTTAACTACTGCACCACGAGGGCTCAAAGATAATAGAAAAGTCTTAATTATATAGATCATGGCCGTTTTCACAATGGCATGTAGAACTTTTAAAATTGTGAACTGAACGATTACCATAACAGTAGAACAAACTACATACGTAGTCTGTTTTGAAGTTACATGTTCCTGATTATTCTACATATCAGAATCAGGGCATGTGGTGAAATTATAAATATTTACCTACCGTAATTATGGCCCAATAGAGGACACAAAGCTTGAGTCACAAAATGCCATGACATAGTACACTCTGGGGAGGGGACTTGGCTTTCACCCTTAAACGTACATATAAAATTATTCTGGTAGAAAGATGGGAAGATGGGTTGATCAGGTTCAATAAAGGTGGTCTTTATGTGTTTTTCCATTTCAAGAATATAAATTGACCTGGTATCTGGATGGACCCAGGATCTTGTATTTGATACCTCTTGATCCTTTCTCTCTTTTATCCTGCCCTCCAGGGAGCCTGGTGTGGTGTGAAGATTTTGGTTCTGAAGCAAGATGGTCTTGAGTTTTAATCCTGGTTCCACTACTCATAGGTTGCTTGACTTTAGGCAAGCCATTTTACCCCTAGAGCACATTCTTAGCTAATATGTGTCCCCTTTATCTTTCCTGTCTATTTTCCTGCAGGAGGTTGCTAATACTAACACATAAATTTTTCATTTAAACTTGGTTTTTATCCCAGACACTGCTTCTCGTTGCCAAGAAGATTTCCTATCCTTTTCCATATCCTTCCATTTCTCTTGTGTCTGGTGGCCTGGCTTAACTCATGCTATGTGAAGATGACTTCAATTACGTTTCATTTATTTTATTTTGAAAACATAAATTGTGTTTTCACATAAAGATCCTGTATGATATGTCTACAGCTCCTGTTTTACCCCCTCCCTATAGGTCCAGCTATTTGAGAATTGAATGGCTGTCTGAGAATTGAAGAACTGAGAACTGAATGGCTCTCTGAGAAAAATACTTGAGGGGGCATGCCTGGGATAGCTTGCATGGGCAAGTGTGATGTCTGAACATAAAAATCTCACCTGTTATCTCCCAGCTGCCACTGTCTTCTTTGCATTAGGCTCAACTCTTCTTCCATGAGAATTTTCAGGTAAGCCTATTGATGGGTATGGTGTCAGCACATGAATTCCTACCTTATTCCTCCACATTTCCTGTCCACCTGACCCCCACTGATAATAGATATAGCTGGCCATTTAGTCCATGATCTGATTAATGATGTTCTCTGGGGGCTGTGAAAGAGCAAATCAGAAGGCCTGTTAGCAGATAGGAACTGAGACTTTGTTATCCTTACATAACTTCCATAACTGTCACTATAAATAATTTAAAAAATCAGTTGCTGTTGAGTTGAATCCAACTCATGGCGATCCCATGTGTGTCTGAGCTATACTGTGCTCCATAGGGTTTTCAAAGCTTGATTTTTCAGAAGCAGATCATCAGGCCTTTCTTTTAGGCACTTCTGGGTGGACTTGAACCCTCAACCTTTTAGTTAGCAGCCAAGTGCATTAACCATTTGTACCACGTAGGGACTCCGCTATATATAATGACCCCCTCACAAAATTTCTCTATGCCCCTAACATGAGCCCTTGACCTTCCCATGCTTCCATGAGGGCCAGGTGGGCCATCATTCATCAGGACCACTCAGAGACGATCACTCCACGGGACATGCGTACATGTTTAATTTCCCAAGTCTACATGACCAGTTCTATCTAATATCAGTGCCCTGAGCTCACTGTTCTCAATGACACAAGAATTTGCCCGCACAGTTTCTCACATCCTTTGATGTGTGCATCTCCTCTTCAGAGGTTTCATGTAGAGGGGCTCTCTTCTCAGAGTAGACATTGGGACCCTGAAGGGAGGGGGTCAAGTGGACAGCCATATGGGTCACCACATCCTTCTAGGTTTGACCTCTCCCCATCAGAGAATCACCCTCTCTATTGCTCTACTTTCTGAAGAAGCTGGTGAAATTTCCAGGAAACAAGGGACAATTAGGCCAGACAAACATAGGTTGAGGCTCACAGAGGGGTGCCACTGCCCAGCTAGTAGCCCCAGGCACATAAACATCCCAAGTTTTGATCCCCACTTAAGAACATATCCCATCTCCTCATTTTGTTTTATTCTTCCATTTTTAACAATCTAAAATTTTGTTTATTGATAACTCTTCCCCCTCAAATACCTGCACAAAGAGAGCATAAACCTTGTTTCTTGTACATGGCTGAATCCTCAGCACCTATCTCAGTGCCTGGCACACCGTAAGCACCCAATAAATAAGGTCAAAGCAGGAATGAATATCCACAAACAGGGGAACCTCATATTTCAGCTTGACTCCTGGGATTTAGCTGGAGGAGGGGAAAGTGCAGGAAGCATTCTTACTGCTGCAGAGAACCTGGTGACCATCTCCAAAATAAAATATCCTCTGATTTGATCATTTTCTTGGCGGCTCATAGCTTCAGGAGGGATTATGGGGGCCTGTTCTGCAGCTCACCTTGTATGACCAGTCAGAGGAGGGCTGGTCTTTTAGACTGGAGGCCTCTGGGATTCTCTCTTGTTGCCTTGCTTGGGCTTGTGAGGTCAAATTCAGGTTTTGATTCCCTGGGCTCATTAGTTGGTGATTGAGGTGTCATGAGATTTTTGCCCGGGATTTGAACCTTTCCTTCTCCATCCTCAGAAGAAAATTTGGGGGCTGAGAGAATTTCCCATAACAGGTACTGTATAAAAGTCTACTCCAGCCTCCCATTCTTAGAAATAGGTAGACTCTATTACTGCTGCTGCTACTGTTGCATAATTGTTAGCCTCAAACATTTACTACCTCAACACAGCATCCATTTTCACGTGAGACCAGATGTTCCAAAGAAGACGGGTCCAAGAAAAGAATGGTTGGGATATATAATTATAAAAACATGTAGAATTAAGTTTAAGAAAGCCTTTCTTGGATGATCCCAGGTTCTTGATAAAAGCTCTATTTCCATGTTTATTCCCAACTGGCCTATCTCCCTAGAAATACCTAACAGGCTATAAACACCATTTTGCATTCCTTTTTGTGTTTTTTATCTGTTCCTTTAGGGCTAATAGGATTGAAAAAACAAGGACATTTTAAAGAGATCATAACAGAACCAGAGCTGTTCAAGATTGCATGTATCATTTGACTTAGCCAATCACAGAGTCTTAGAAACTAACAGAGATCTAGGAGAGGAGAGAACCAGACCAAATCCACAACAACCTGTTCAAGCCACTGCCATCCATTATTGCTATTTTTCAGTGACTAGCCAGCAGTGTCTAGGCTGACAAAGGAGACTCCACATGAGATGGGCTGTCGGGGCTTGGTGATACAGCTGAAAGAGCACGAGAGAGGAGCTAATCCCCTGCCTCACTGGGTGATCCTGAACAAGTCACTCTTCCAAACTGGACCTCAATTTTCCCACCAGTCATTTGGGGAGGGTGGACAAGGTGATCTCCAAGGGTCTGGCCAGCTCTCAGAAGCTGACTCTGCTCTCCTGACACCCTACCTCCCACTAGTGCCCTGCCCCTAGTTCCAGGATAGACTTGGGTTGAAGACCATTAAGGAAAAGAAAGAAAGAAAGAAAGGAATGAGGAAAAGAGAAAATTAATCTGAGACATCCCCAAAAGACATTGAGCTTTTTATACTACCATCCAGGGCACTCAAAAGATCTCCATGTTTTTCCACTTGCTGCTTTCCTCAGCTATGGCTGCTTTCCTATCAGCTATTCACATGCCCAATTTGCCAATCAAAATCCAATGCTATAGAGTAAGGAAGATAAGTGAGGTATCTACACACAACTAGGCAATTTAAAATATACTGGTTAGGCTCTAAACTGGTTGTATGTGTTTTTGTTTTGTTCTAGAGATATGTGTATTCTTGACTTATTAAGCTTATATCAATTAATACGTTTGCCTTTTCCTTTTCAAAGAAATGGAAGGAGGTAACAGCAACAAAATATAGTAAGCCAAAAAGCAGATGGATGGTTATTAATGCACTTAACAGATTCAATAAAGCTGAATCATCAGCTGAGTGTGAGTAAATCCAAGAAACAACCACAGAATCCTTCAAAGACATGAGAATTTGTGGTTCAACTTACCTCTGAAGTACATAGTGAATTGTACTAAATCCAAAACATATTAAAATGGTATACACCATGGCCAAGAGGGATTTTTTCCAATAATGCAAGGATGGTTCAACATAAGGAAATCAATCAGTGTAATGCACCACATTAATAGGCCAAAACAAACAAAAAACACATCTAAATTGATGCAGAAAAGGCCTTTGACAAAATTCAACACTCTTTCATGACAAAAACAGTCAGAAAACTAGGTATAAAAGAGAAATTCCTCAACATGGTAAAGGGCATTTATAAGAAAAACTCACAGCTAACATTATGTGTATATGTGTATGCATACATGTGTATAATTTTATATATATATATACACACATACATATATATGCAAACATACACATACACACATATATTCTGGTTATGAGTCTTTTTGTGGATACATATAATTGAATTTTTTTCTTTTATTGTGCTTTAGGTGAAAGTTTACAGAGCAAACTAGTTTCTCATTTAACAATTAATATAGAAATTGTTTTGTGACATTGATTGCCAATGCTGTGATGTGTCAACACTCTTCCCTTCTACATCCCGGGTTC